TTCTTTTTTTTTTTGAAAGGGAATCAGTATTTGGTTTGGTGGGCCTTAAATAACGCTTCCCCCATTTGGGTCGAAACTCAGGTGTGTTTTGATTGATCTGAAGAACCCGCGCCACGGGATTCAAACCTGGAGGAGAAAGCGAAAGGAGCTCCAAGTTCTTCAGAGCTCTTGAGCTCCATCATTGTGAGACAATCGCCAACTAGCCATTGTCACTAGGAGTGTAAACATGTCGAACACGAGAGCGAGCCGCGACTCAGCTCGTGTTCGACTCATTTATATTTCGAGCTCAAAAAGTGTGTTCGTGTTTGACTCGTTTGCATAGCGAGCTGAACATGAGTTGTTCATGAACAAATGGTCGTTTTGATAACTTTAATTACGTAGCCATAAGATTTTAAAGAACAAATGGTCGTTTTGATAACTTTAATTATTTATATTAAAACTCATTTAAAGAACACTTCTTCCATTTGGGTCGAAACTCAGGTGTGTTTTTATTAATCTGAAGAGCTTGTGTCACATGATTTAAACCCCTGACCTAAGGAACTTATGCCAGAGGCCGCACCAATGAGAGAGAGAGAGAGTGTGTGTGTGTGTGTATAATTGATGAGTAGTATTTCGAGTCAAAAAGAGCCGAACACGAAAAAACAAATCTTTGTTCGTGTTAGGCTCGTTAATTCAACGAATGAGCCGAGCACAAGCTTCTTGATGAGTCGAACACGAGCTGTTGGGGAACAACGAGCCGTTTTGACATCTCTAATTAAGAGTCATCCAGAGTTTAATTTTATCAAACTTATAGTCAAAATGACCGACTCGATGAGCATGCCCAATGATATCAAAATTAGTCCAATCTAAGTCAAATAAAGCTCATATCAAGTCATTAAACTACTCTTAAAAGATTTACAAATATATTTGGAAGGTCCGATGAATGTCGAATCTAGCAAGCCTATAATCGAATCGAGCGCCTCTATATGACATATCCAATGAGCCCAAGACAGCTCAATTCAAACATCATTAAGTCACTCAAATGTCTTTCAAATGATGTTTGATCGTAGAAATCTCTCTGGGGCATCTGATCAGTGTGGTTTATATTTCAGTATTAATTGAACACAAAACTCTATAAATAGAACCACACCTCTCTCATGAAAGGAGAGAAGCTTGAAGTTTGAGGAGGAGCTTGAAGTTTTGAGAAGCTGAAGTCCAACATCACTTCAACCACCGTCGATCATCGTCGACCATCGCTGACCGCCTTCGATCACCACCGGTCTCCATCGATTGCCACTTGCTGGCCTCTACCAATCGTCATTAGCCGCCACTCACTTTTTACAATAAGTTAATTCGTGTATCTATGTTATAACTTCGAAGAGTGTTCATCCCTTTCCCGCCTATGAGACAAGGGACTATACATGTAATATGCAGCTTATAGTGGATTTCTTCAGTTGGGCTAGACTCCATTGTTTTTTCTCATTATGGGTTTTCTATATAAAAAAGTTATGGTGTCGTTACTAGTTATTCTCTCTCTTCTGAGGGTGTGTTCAGTCTTCTACCACGTTATGATGATAATTTGTTACTTTACTGCCTCAAATTTTTTACACATCAATTTTATTCCCCATTAATGTTGTTGGCCTTATTATTTTTTTTAGAGCATTTTAATTGTAATAATAATTAAATATTATTATCATTTAATGATGAGCTCAACAAAATTTTTTAAATTATCACTAAATTAAGGCTTATGTATGTAAATCTCCCAAATTTTAATGCCAAGGCTAAATAATTTACCAAAAAGGCTTTTCCAATTTAAAGATTTTAATCCTCTCAATATTTACTAAATCAATTTACTGGTTCTATTAATTTTCTCTATCTGCCTTAAAATCAGTGAACGGAACGGCCGCTTCGGGTCGCTCAAGATCTCCCCCGTCCCTGTTCCCCATTTCCATCTTCTCACTTACTCCGCCATGGCCTCCAGCTACGGCGATTTCTACCGGGGAAACTTGCTGCGCGATGAGGTTTTATACCTTCACGGCCTCTGGAAGCAAGGGTCCCATCCTCCATCCCCCGGAAACGGAAACTTCAACTCTAACACTAAATGCAACCTCACTCCCAGTCATCTTCGTCCCAGATTCTCCGGCAAGCTAAGAAAAGGTCGAAAGCATCAACGTCGAAGGAAGAAGGCGGTTGCATCCGAGAAGGAATGGCCATGCGATCCTGATACGGATCCGATCCAAGCGGTCGCCACTGGCTGGCCAGAGCCACGGCCAAAGCCTGAGCCTCGCCCTCCCTCCGCCGAGGATCTCGCCGCGGCTCTGGTTGCTCGTGCGCAGAAGAATGGCGTGGATGCTTGTAGGAGATTCTTTTCTAAGAAGATCGTGGATAATGATTCCGATGAATGCGATTCGGCCGGGGAATTAGAGGAGGATGATGATGATGAGGAGGAAGAGGTGGAGGAGTGGGCTTTCAAGATTTTCATGGATATATTTACGAAGGACAACGAGTTGAGGAGGTACTACGAAGAAAATCATGATAAGGGTGAGTTCTTGTGCTTGGTATGTGAGGGTAGTGGGGCTAAGAAAGGGAGGACGTTTGGTGATTGTGCTGGGCTGGTTCAGCATTGCAGCAATGCGGCCAAGATAGGTCCGAAAGCTGCTCATCGTGGTCTTGCGAGGGCTTTGTGCAGGGTGGTTGGGTGGAATTTTGAGAGGCTTCCAATGCTGGTTTTGGACCTTGAAGAGACTCTGGGTCAGATGCTGGCGAGGGATGCCTCTGGATAGCAGGTGATGCCTCTCTTGAGTTTTATTTGTCAACTTTTTTGAGTTGTTACGAGGGCATGCTTATCCGCATGCAATCTTTGAGTTCATCTTTAGGCTGATTTAAATCTTCATATATATGCATCATTTCTTGATCAGAGGGGAATATTTTCTTTATAGAATTTATATTATTTATTTGGTTGTAGTCCTTTTATGCTCCAACTTCTTTTACCGAGTGACAATCAACATGTATCGATCAATGTGATGTTGCATCATGTATATCTGTCTGTTGATTATCATCATGAAATAGTATGACAATGCTCTCCATATATTCGGTTTTTGGTTGCTTTTTGGTCTGTGATTAGATTATCTTCTATTACCAGTCTTGAGATGGACTGACGGATGCGAATGGTGGCTTTGTAAAGCTTAATTCTAATGGCCTTAATTCAAAACAATCCTTACCTAGGGGGATACGTAGTTTAAACTGATCTTGAGTGGGTTGGATTAATGCTTAAAATTTTAAATACCCAATTCTTGCAATCCAAACGCTTTAAGGTGTTGCTGGAAAGTTTGATATTCACTGCTTCGACCAGTTTTAAACAAAATAGCCACCTGATGTTTTGTTATCTTTCTAGTTTAGCACAAATATGTGGGCCAAAAAATGTTTTTATTGCATCTTTGAATTTCATTTGAGTTGGCCGCTAGACATTTACACATATGGTAGCATAGTAGCTTTTTATCTATTCTATTATCATTTTTTCCCATATGTCTCAGTATTGCCATAAAGATGGAGTAGAGATGTTGTAGAGTTGGTCATGATGTGAAGTTGAAATGCGATCTTATATGTTTTGTTTTAACCTAATTCTATGTTAATTATATGTTTTTGGAAGCTGCTTTTAATATATTTGGTAGGATCCAAGTGAAAGGTTGGATGGGAAATTAAATGGAGGTCATGTTGCTAAGTAGAGAAGCAGCCCCTAGGCGCCTGAGCAAGGGTTGCAAACCAGCCAAAAACGAGAGAAGATAAAAAGTAGACAAAATTTAAGCAGCGCCTAGACGCCTAGGTCCAGCGTCTAGGCGCTACGGACCGACACCTATGTGCCAAATGCCCTAAGATGAAGAATCCAATAATGGGAAAAGGAGCGCTGGATCTACGGTGCCTTGTTTCAACGCTTATGGGCCAATAGAGCAGCGCCTAGGTGTCAGTTCACGCTTTTTAAAAGGGACATTGAATAAACTGAGAAGGGGGAGAAACATTTGGAAGGTTGCAAAAACTCTGTAAGAGTGGGTAAGGACTTTGTGAGGAGTGAGTGAGTGAGGATTTGTGTGCAAATTACTCTTGTAATTCAGTGGAATGTTTGAAGGGAAGAAGCCTAGTGTTGTATCTCTTAGGGATAGCCATCAATGTTTTCTTTTCAAACTCTGTAATTTATTTGCTTTTTGAATGAAATTGTTTATTGTTATTTCAAAGCGTGAGTAGTGAATTCCTCTTCTTTCTCCCTTGAATTAGAGTCTATGCAAATTAGTAGTGTTCTTGTTATGTGATTGGATTTTAAGTTGATAGTTTAACTTTTTGTATGTAATTTAATTTTAAACCAATCACTTAAGAAGTTAAAATGGGTTGTGATCGAATACAGAAGAGTAGACTAGTAGAACAATTAGATTAACTTACACTACTCTAAGATAATATAATATTGTTGTCAAAATTGTGCGGTCGTGTAGGAAAATTTCTAAATACTGAGATTTTTTCTTGGTTGGGGGATTAACTGTAATATGAAACTTCAATTTTTATTTGACCTTCTGAAGGGGCTGAGGAAATTTGTTGTTCATGATTATTAATTTCATTAGATTCACTTAGATGGATTTGGTTTGCATAGGGCTAATTCAAGTGAGGATCTCTATCACTTGTTTAAACTCAAAAATTAGTTTGCGGTTTTACTTTTTGCAAAAACTAGGATTAAAAACTCTAAAATTGCCCAATTTTGAACTTCCAAGCTTGACTCAACTAGTAGATTATAATTTTGTCTAATTTTAGGAGTTCACTTGTTTCTTATGGGATCGATACACAAACTCAAATTTATATATTACTTGATCGACATGTATACTTGCGTGGTAGTCGGCGCTTCATAATATTTTGAGCGTATTAAGTTTTTGACGTCGTTGCCGAAGAAGGACATTGAATTTTTAATTTTAGAAAGATTTTAATTGAGCCATTAAAATTTAGACTTGAAAATTATTGTATTGCACTTTCTCTATTTAAAAATCCAAAAAAAAAAACATTTTTGTTATTCTTGTTTTTACTTTCTGCATATTCTTCTATTTGACTTTATTTTCTGTGAATATTGCTTTTATATTGTGTTTCCAGCTAGTTGAGGCTCTCTCAATTGTTAGTTCTAGACTTGTATGTGTAGCATTGGACTAGTTGAGCTTTTGTTTTACGATCCTGAATTAGAGAAAACCGTCAAGAAAATAAGAAAAGTAAAAAAAAAAAAAGAAGAGATGACAAACCCACTCTAAGAAAAACACCTCAGTTCTCTTTGGGAATATGTCAATCCTATGGTAGATGAAATCCATAAGTGTATCAATAACCTTACCCTTTATGCAGACACTTTTGAACTTAAACATGATTTTATTCAGATAGTCCAAAACAATCAATTCAGAGGCGCACTTTAATATCTATACTGCTAGTTTTAGAGTTATGTACAACCTTTAATATAACCGTGTCTTAAATGACGTTGTTAGACTTAAGTTTTTTTTATTCTCTCAGGGATGAAGCTCAAGTTTAGTCTCGGGATCTATAATTATCTGGAATGACCTAGCACATAAATACCCAACAAAGTACTTCCCATCCTCTAAAACTGCAAATCTTAGTCATCAATTCAGAGACGCACTTTAATATCTATATTGCTAGTTTCCTAGAGTTATGCACAACCTTTAATATAACCGTGTCTTAAATGACATTGTTAGACTTAAATTTTTTTTTATTCTCTCAGGGATGAAGCTCAAGTTTGATCGAATTCTTTAGTCTCGTGATCTATAATTATCTGGAATGACCTAGCACATAAATTCCTAACAAAGTACTTCCCATCCTCTAAAACTGCAGAACTCAGGAATGATATCACATATTTTATCCAGTTAGTGAGATTATATATTTATGAAGCTTGAGAAAGATGTAAATAATTGTTTAGTAATGGGCAAGTAGTTCATTCATGTCAATAATAAATGTTACGGGGGGGGGGGGGGGGGGGGGAGGGGGTTCATTCTTATCAAAGTCATTTGAGGAGACATTCACTCTTTGAGGAGATGAATAATGATAATTTTCAATGGACTGCAGATTGAGTTAATTTTAGGAAGACAGCTTGTGTGCACGATACAAGTTTGTTAGCAATCTGGACTTCGTAAGTAGCTGCTATATTCAAGAAGTTAGACAATTAAGGGTCTATTTGGGGCTGCTGCGCAGTAGCTGCCACAAGAAGCTGCTGCGGATAAGCTGACTCTTTGTTTATTTTTCGTCAGTTTGAAAACAATTGTTATGCAACTGTTTTTTGGATAAATGACCATTCTACTTCTGTATATTAATGCAGTTTGTAACAAAACTGTTCATACTAGCACATTTTACACTTTAAATGTCGGATCCCCAAAAATCCAACTTCAATTGAAAAGCAAGTATAAGCATTAGCCAAATAAAAAAACTACAAAATTCTCGAGCACAGAGAACCACACTAACACCAAGAGGAACCACCGCACTGGTGGACACAAATGCACAAAATCAAGAACCACATGTTTAGGGTAAAAAAACCACCACAAAGATTACCCAGCACGAATAAGAACCGCCGCATAGAAGAACCGTCGCAAAGAGGAAACCATGAAAATATCAAATACATACACATTTCCAAAATCAAAGATAATGACATAGTTAATGTAGGGATTACCCAACACGAAGAGAAACCATCGCACAGAGGAACCACTGCACGAATAAGCAACACCTTACATTGATCAAAAGATCCAAACAGTGTCTTTTGATGGTCGGCTGAAGGGGAAGATTAAGGAGCAGCCAGAGGAGAAGAGGAAGGACTTGTCGGAGGGAGAGGATGGAGCCGTCAGAGAGAATCGAAGATGAATAGCGAGAGGTGTGGCTAGGTTTTTGTGCATAGCTCCGAAAAATATATTTTTGAAACAACGAAAACATAATTTCTGTGTTTTTGAAAACACGCATCATGTGCTTTATAAGTAAAATTAAAAAAATAAAAAATGAATAAACAAATATTATTTTTTGGTTTGTTTTCTATTTTCTGTTTTCAAAAACAAAAAATAGAATACAGAAAATGATCCCAAATAGGTTCTTATTTTTGTTAAATTTCATAGATCTTTTGCATGGCAACTCAAATTAGGAAAAGAGTTTGTTGTGGGAGAGAAATTTCAGGTATGAAGTCTGAAATCCATATTCAATTATTATTTTTATTGTTAATTTGTGTTAAGTTAAGAATCCTAAGTTTAAAAAGTTATAATACAGCTACTCTTAACCAAAATATTAAATGAAATTCCAGGAAAACTTCCTATAAAAAACCTACAAATTTATTTAATTGTATTGTAATACTATTGTATAAATCAAAATCTGCTAATGAAATAGTTAATTATTAAGAACGATGTTTTAGTAAATTGTCATATAAAGTAACAAAGAAGAAGTAAAATAAATAAACTGCAAACGAATGTGTCTAAGTTGTTTAGATTAGAATTAATATGAAAGATGGACAAAAATTTGCTAGATACTAATCAAATCCAATGTGTAATATAGGTACACCAAATGACTAGTTTGATTTGAGGAAATGAGAACAGACTGTACTGAATAAGTGGTTAAATATATTTTTGTTTTACAATAGTTATTTTCATTTTTGAAATAAATTGCAAATGTTTTCATTGCTTTTAAGATTTGCTTTTAAAATGCAAAAGTTATATTTTCATATACTAAAATTGGTTAAAACAAATTTCAAATAAAAGAAAGAAATAAAATATGAGATATGTATATGCATATGTGAAGTCACCCTCATATGGTATTCACCAAGGAATCAATCTATCCGTGCACGTAAAAATGAAAATGAAAATAATTATCCACTTTTTATCGAGTTTTGAAAAATGGTATAAAATGTGTACTTGCAGCACAAATTTATACATTAACACTATTTAGCGAATTTTTTAAATGAAACAAAAAAAGTAATAATAAAACTGATTTATTAGTTGAACCTCAGAGCTCGGTTGGCAGAGGCTCGTCTCTCCAATATAAAGGACCTCGTTCGAGCTATATGAAAAATATTGCTCACCAGTGCCAAAAGAAAAATTAAAGTGATTTATTTATTGCCTCTCTTTTTCATTGTTTACTTTTTTTTTATAATTTTTATTTAAATGTGAATTGTTGTAATTTAAAGACATTTTGCTCACTGAGTCGTTTAACTCATACCTCATATTCCCAAAATTTTTAGGCAAATCTATTTTGTAGTAGATGAATCCTAGAGATTATGTGCACACACATCAAGGAGCCCAGAGAGATAAGTACACCATTTTTCTTTTTTATTTTTCTTGCTGTTGTAAAAGATAAAGTTGAAAAATTGCTTATAAATTAAAATTTATGAAATAGCTAGTTTTTTTTATATTTTGGAGATTTTTGTTTGAGCAATGAAAATGTTTATATAGTACTTTCTACATCCGACTGATCATTTCAGCATTGGTATTTCAAGCTATCGGAATAAGTTGTCACATGACTAGTTTTTTAACTCTCTTGGTTTCTTTTTCTTCTTAGGCTTATATGGTTCTTTGCAAATTTTTGATGCAGTTAGATCTAACTTAATTTTCCAATGCGCTTCTTCTTCTTCTTCTTCTTCTTTTTTTTTTGTTGTTGTTGTGAATTGGATGCTCTTTTTGATCATCCACACTAAATTTTTGTCATATTAAATGAACTTCTTGTGCTTTTAAAATATTTGTGATCATCCCGCTAATCAAAACAAATTCCTCATTTCATAGTCTTACAGCCTAAGGATGGTACTTGCTTGAGCGTTATATCCTCACCTCACTTAACCCTTGTTTCTAGGCGAGTGTTTGACCCACTTTTAAGAATATTGATACTAGCCTATTTTATTAACTCCCTATTGCATCATTCTAGATTGTTTTAAGAGGTAAATATTCTATTAGCTTAAAAAGTGTATTCTCTTATATCTTTCAAAAGTACTCATATTCACTTATTGGAAAAAAAAATATTAAACACAGTTCTTTTGTCCTCTTGGAAAAAAAAAATATTTTTGGCTTCATTTTGTTAGAATTTCCTCATGATAAATA